GACCACCCTGAAGAGGATGAGCCTCTTTTGCTTGTTTTAAAAGATGCCATTTATTCACTGCTTATCATGGGCCAGGCACTGTGAGGTGTTAAATTTAATCCTTTCAACAGTCTTTCGGGACAGGCACTTCCAGTATTTCCATTTTACAGATAAGGAAACCGAGGAGCAGAAAAGTCAGGTAGCTTGCCCAAGGCCACACTGGTAGCAAGTTACTGGGCAGAGTGGGTTTGGAGATTATAAGAGGCTTGGGGACCTGTATTTTTATTAGCCAGTGGCAAGGAAAAGGTCAGGAATCTGTGAGAAGGAGGGAGGCCACAGGTGGAGAAAGACCCAGAGAAGGAGGTGAGAGGCAGTGGGACCTGGTCCAGGGAGGAAGGGGCGGGGAGGGGGCATTATTGGGTGTTTGTGGGAGGGAGGGAGCTGTCGGGGGGAGGGGGAGTGGCAGGAGACCAAGTCTCCTGCTTAGAATGAGAGGGGAGCATGGAGGGTTATGGATTCTTTTTGTTAATTGCCTTTTGTTGTTACTACTAAGCTAAAAAGAACAATCCAGTTCTGTCTTGGATCTTCCGTTTGATTCCATTTTCTTGTTTAGACACTTGTTTTCAGTGTTGTTCAGGGCTCGTCTGCGCTTTAACCATTAGTGTCGGCACCAGCGATGTCCTGAGGCATCAGAAAATGCCTTTAAACATCCTCTGGAATGTCGCTTTAAATCCCACTACTGCTTCTGGGCTTGCTCATGTGTTTCTAAGAACTGGATGATCAGCATTCTGTAAAACCAAATGCACAGCTGACCTTCCAGGGCATGCCTGCTGTTGATGTGGCCTGGCATCATGTCACAGTCGCTCTGTGCCTCATCTTTCTCCTTCTCCGAGGCTGTGGAAGCTGCCAGCATGCGGATTTACTGGAAAGACCATGCCTTGACTTATTTTTATGGGCTCTTCCCAGGCAGTGTCTTTTGTTACAGGAATTAAAATTATGTACGAAGGACGGAACGCATTTGTACAGACTGTATAAAGGTTTAGTTCTAAAATCCACCCAACATCTTCATAATGATCAATAGAGCACAGACATGTAGACATTAATTTTTTAGTGTGATTTTCATGTTTAAAGACAAACACCAGATGCCAGTGTAAGAGGCTGCCTTTTATGTGTCAACCTCTGGAAAGAAATAGTGAATTTTCCTAGGAAGTCAGGTGGACCGCCCGCCCCCTTTCTAAAGTAGCCATTCATTTCCTTTGCCTTTGTTGGTTTCCCCCTTAAACCCTGGAGACTTTGGTTCACTGAAGTGTTCATTCGTGCATGCATGTCTGCGTTCCCCGACATTTATTGAATGCCGATAGAGTGCTTGGCCATGAAGTCCCAACCCACGGCTCAGCCGCTGGGTTTCTGCACAAGACTCTGGCGTCTGGGAAAATGGGGCCGACTCCGTGCGGCAGTTCCTAGGACAGTGCCTGCAGGAGTGATAATGCCGGCAGGGCTCCTGGGACTTATTGAGTAGGTGCGCCACAGTGGTTAAGGAAGGAACTCATGAGGGACCAGAGGAAGCCTAGACGATGAGTTCAAGAACTCCCAGTCCAGCCTCAGTCACCAGAGGCCTCACTGCAGAATAAAAATGTCAGCTGGCATGTCAAGTTCAAATCTGTTTCCCTCTGAAAAAAAGGTTCAGAATTATTATTCGCTGAAGGATACATTTATTATTTATTTATTTATTTTTGTTTTGTTTTGTTTTTATTTATTTATTTTTTAAATAAATTGTTATTGTTCAGATTATTACAATTGTTTTTCCCTTTTCCTCCTTCCCCCATAGCTCCCCTCCACCTGGTCCCCACTTGAAGGATACATTTATTTATTTATTTATTTATTTAAAATATATTTTACTGATTTTTTACAGAGAGGAAGGGAGAGAGATAGAGAGCTAGAAACGTCGATGAGAGAGAAACATCGACCAGCTGCCTCTTGTACACCCCCTACCGGGGATGTGCCCGCAACCAATGTACATGCCCCTGCCCGGAATCAAACCTGGGACCTTTCTGTCCCCAGACCAATGCTCTACCCACTGAGCCAAACCGATTTCAGTTACATTTATTTCTTGAGGTGTCACCTCTTGTTTCTCTTCTTTTCTTTATTTTCTTTCTTTCTTTTTTATTTTCTTTCTTTCTTTCTTTCTTTTTTTTTTGCCTTCTAGATGCTCGTTGGGAGTTTGTCCTTAGTGAGTGGAATACTGACCCTCAGACTTCCAGAAACCCTCCGGAAGCCTCTGACAACTACTTGGGAGGAGACAAACATACTGGATGCAGAAAAAGGTAGCAGCTCAGGCGAAACGTTTCCCACCACCAGTGACTTGGAAGCCAGACAAACCAGAAGTTGATTAATTCAGGGGATTCTGGTTTGGTGAATGACTGTGCCATGCATGCCGTCTAGCTCCTGAAAAAGTTGTTTACTGCCTTTGTATTAGAGAAATATTATTCTCAATTCCTGCAAAAAAATTTTTTTTGTGAAAAAGTTTTAAAAACGGTGATTTTGTAAGAGAAATAAAAACTAAGATGAGATGCTCATGTTTAGACTGCTTTCTTGTGGCCATGGAAAAATATTTTCCCATGTTTGTTGTTCTGTGTCGTCGTCGTTTCTCAGCCTTTTCCACTCACCACCTGAGGGAACACCACATCCTCCAGTCCCATCAGGTCCCCTCCTTCCCCCAGGCACTGTCAACTGTGAGTGTTTTTCTTTCTTTTCCATATTTTATTTATTTGTTTGTTTGTTGTTTATTTATTTATTTTTCAATTGCAGTTGACTTTTTAACATTATTTTATATTAGTTTCAGGTGTATGGCATAGTGGTTAAACATTTATATAATTTATGAAATATTCCCCCTGGTTTTCCTAATATCCCCCTGACACCATAGATAGCTACTACAATATTACTGACTATATTCCCTATGCTGTACTTTACATCCCCGTGACTGTCTTGTAACTATCAATTTGTACATCTTAATCCCTTCTCCTTTTTCACCCAGCCCCCCTCCCCCCCATCCTCCTCCAGTCTGGCAACCCAGTTTGTTCTCTATAACTGTGAGTCTTTTTTATATTTTACTGATTTTTTTTACAGAGGGGGAGAGAGAGAAAGAGGGACAGAGAGCTAGAAACATCAATGAGAGAGAAACATAGACCAACTGCCTCCTGCACACACCCAAGTGGGGATGTGCCCACAACCAATATACATGCCCTTGACCGGAATCGGACCTGGGACCTTTCAGTCCTCAGACCGATGCTCTATCCACTGAGTCAAACTGGTTTCGGCTTTTTTTTTTTTTTTTTTTGTCCTCACCAGAGGATATTTTCCCATTGGTTTTTAGAGGGAGTGGAAGCTTGCTTTCTTGGTTTCATTACTAAATGTTTTCTTCTTGTCCTCCTTTTGGAGGTAAGCAGAGCCCAGAGCTGGGCCGGGAGAAGAAGGAGAGCTCTCAGATATTTCCCATGGCTCCCATCCCCTTTTGGACACAGCCTCCATCCTAGCCAGACTTGTGGCACTTTCTCCGCTCACACAAACCTCCCCATGGAGCCACCCCCCACACACCCCTGTTTCCTCAGCTCTCTCTGAACTTCCTGCCTTTGACTTGGCTCATACCATCCTCCCTCCCAGCACTTCTTTGTCCTTCCTGGACTGGCCACGTGGGTCCACCACGCTTCCTCCCTCCCTCCTGACCCATCACAGCGCCTACAGGGACAGTTCTGCTTCTTAGAGAACTGCCTTATTCTGCCTTGCTTCCTTTCTTGAGGGAGAAAACACCATTTTAGGAACCCTCGAGTCTCTCCTAGTCCTTGCAACCTGCCTTGGACAGAGTGCTCTGCAAGTGTTTCTTGGTTGGTTTTATAGTAGGTACTCAATGAAATACATATACCACCTTACCAAGAATTTTACTGTTCGCACCTCAACTCAGCAGATGCTCACAACAACTTGTAAGCGAAATCTTAGTTCATGTCCAGCTTTCAAATGGAGACAGGAAATTCGGAAGCGAGATGACTCGCTCAAGGTAAAACAGATCTCCCGTGTGGCACCTCTGGATGTGCTTTGATGAAGACCTTGAGCCTGGGAACCTGACATTCAGATTGGGCTTTCCATTTAAGAGACCTTGGGCCCTTCCTTATTCTCTTGGAGCCTCAATATGCTCATCTGTGGATTGGGGATAATCACAGTCCCCATCTCACAGGGTGTTTGTGTTAATGGTGTCATGCATGTGTCTAGCAGATGGTGCAAGCTAATTACACATTAGTTACAGTATGATCATCATTACTTCAGTACATCAAACTGCTTTCCCGTAAAATAACTTGTTGACTGTAATTTTACAGTCTGCCACCCAGTGGACACTCAGCAAATATTTGAATATGTGGACTCAACGGTCATTTAGTTTTTTATCCTAGATTTTATCCTAAATATTTTTTCCAACTGCAATCATCATCTAGCAGTGTTTCCCAAAGTGTGGTACACATACCCCCAGGGGTAGGGGAAGAGTTTGGTGGGGGTACGTGTTGCACCGGAGTTTGGTGGGGATATGCACTGCACCGTGCTTAGCTGCGCCTAATTCTATGTTCTCATGAGTATGAGGGGTACTCAGCGTTATGAAAATTATAGAAGGGGTACGCATATGTCAAAAGCTTGGGAAACACTCATCTAACGGATCAACAACATTATTCTGTCCTTATACCCCCTCCCCCTCCTCCTCAGACCCAGCAGAGCCAGCAGAGCCAGGAACCTATGGGAGATGGCAGCCACAGGAGGAACTGGCTGGGAGCCTGGCAGCTTCCACCGTTGTTTACCACGCCCACGGATCAGCCGCCGAGAATCCCAGGACGGTGGTGAGGTGGTTTGTAAGCCAGACAAAGGAGAACGGCTGAGTAGGCCCACTTCCAGGTTGGCGGAGCCCCAGCTTCACAATTTACAAGAGGAGGCCACTGGCTCCTTCCTTCGGGGAAATAAGTGACAGAGACACAGGCGGGTGGCCAATGGAGAGTCAGATTAGAGGGAACGTCCTTAGTCATGTCCCCAATGGGAAGCAGTTTTGCTTTCCCTTCGTCTCCGGGCACTGGACCAGCCACTCACTGGGAAAACAAGTGCTGGTGGCAGAGCCTTCTGTGGTTCCAGGCCGCCTTTGCAGAGACAGGTACTGGGATCCCCCCTGCTGGTGCTCAGGGCTCACGCTGTACACACGCAGGGAGCCTGGGGTGTGTCTTAAAGGGACAGTGGCACCTGACTCACAGGTCACTGGGCCAGGCTGCACCCACCTTGCCGGTTCACATTTCCTCTCCCCGGCAGCTGGTTATTCTCAGCCACAATTACTTTCCTTCCCAACTTATGAGAACCGTTTTGGGAGCGTTGCTGGGCAGGGAGGCTGTAGGGAAGCAGGAAGGCAACAGGTGGCTGCCTTCTACCTCTGGGGCCGCGTGCAGGGCTGCCCTCCTCAAGCTTGCCCCTCTGCTGGTCTGCCCCTTGCCCAGGACCCTCCCCTGCTCCGCTCTCTGCCCTGGCAATCTTGCTCTTTCTTAGTGAGCCAGCCCGTTGTGCAGCAATCAGATGAACGAATGGCCAAGACAGCTCAAGAAATAACTCACAGAGACCTCCACGGGAGGACTTTACAGTATCAGACAGCCTCCGAGGCGGAACAGCCCACTGACAGCTGAGCCCCATCCCACTGGTCCTGCTCCCAGCAGAGGGACCTGCCCCACCCCCTCCCGAGGAAGGCGCAGTGCATGCAGATGGCCGTGGTTTATATCACATGACCCGGTGTTCTGGCTACTGCTGATTAGACAGAGAAGGGCCCCTGTGCCAAGGGCAGATGTACAAGTTGATTCAGCCCAATGAGCTGGTCTGCTGCTAAACATTATCTGATAGGGGTGGCAATGATCAACAATTATATTTATCTCTCTGGAGTTTGAGCCTGAGACCTATAGAGACAGAGAGCAGAAACAGAGTGGACAGACAAGCAGGGGAGGCACGACAGACAGGTAAGCTACAGTGGAGCAGGGCTCAGTGGCGAGGGGGTGGGAGGGTGGTGAGCCCTCAACAACCCTCTCGTTCCCACACTGAGTGCTGGTCTCAGGCACCCGCCCAGCCCAGGCTTCTGTATTCCCCTACAGGCTCTGGGAAAGAGCCCTCTTTATGAGACACACTCTGTGGGTCTCTCTTGTTCACTGCCCAGAGGAGTTAATACAGAGTTCGTATGGCTTGGTTTCTAGAGGAGGGAGTCCAGGCTAGGAGACCATGGGTGGCTCCCCAGCTTACAGAAAAGCCTGCTCTCAGAGGGCGGGGTTTCAGGCCTAGGGTGAGGGCGAGGGTGGGAGTGTGGAGCTTGGGAAAGCAGTGGCAGAGAGAGGTAGGGAAGGGGTGAGGAGACATGAGACGCTGAGATCAGTTGTTCAAACTTTCTGTCAAATGTTATATTTGCTGCTGTATCTACCTTGCTTACTTCACTCACCTCTCCTAGGTTTTACCCAGAGGGCAGGTAGTTTAGGAAAGGGAGCAGAATGAGTAAAAACATCCCCTCAAAGGCAAACCTACATCACTGTTGTATGTTTCAAGGGCAGCTCCGGGATGGTTTTGCGCTCTCCTCTAAAATCCCATCAAGCCCTTGCTGCCCGCACCCCGGTGCTTCCTGGGAAGAGAACTTACAGGGAGCTCTCCTTACCCCACGAGAAATGCCAGCAGGAAAGGTCTTACTGTGAGAGGCTTTGGACCTCAGGCCAAACTTTGTACTGGAAGGATTAATCCCTCAAATGAGATTTGGAGCTCACACCTTCTTTCCTTGCAGGCCCATGGATCCAGTCCGGGTTGCTGTGGTGGGGGCAGGGGTGATGGGGCTCTCCACTGCTCTGTGCATTTCCAAACTGGTCCCGGGATGCTCCATCACAGTCATTTCAGACAAGTTCAGTCCGGAGACAACGAGCGATGTGGCAGCTGGAATCCTCATTCCCCATGTTTACCCAGGTGAGAAGCATCTTCGTTCCTCTGTCCGACATGGTAGATGTCAGGTAGAATGATGATGCATGTGAGTGTCACATGAGCTTTTAACATCTTATTGGCTCAGCTGTTAGCAAAAGCTCAGTTACGTATTTTCCGGCGTATAAGACGACCCCCCTAATTTACAGTTAAAACATAGGTCTAGGCCTATATTCGCTGTATAAGACTACCCCCCACTTCAAAGAAAAGACTTACTTTGCCGTCAAGATCTGCAGGTAATTTTTGTGCAATTTTGGTCTTTTGCCCCCGATTTTCGGTTGACTTTTTTTTTGTTTCAAAAGTCGTCTTATTCGCCGGAAAATACGGTAAGTTGTACAATGAGAGCAACCTCCAAACGTTAGCAGTTTAAGAAGCAAGGGTTTATTTCTTGCTCGTGGTATATGTTTGTTGAGCATCAGCAAGGGATCTGCAGGGACCTAAGCTGATGGAGCAGCTGCTGTTTGAATGTCATCGGTATCTGTGCGTGGGGGTATTGGGGGAGAGCTGTGGTGGGGAGGGGTCTCACCTCCACAATTAAAGGCTCTGCCAAGTGACTTTTATCACTTGTGATGACAGCTCATGGGCCGGCACCACTCACATGCTCTCACCCCTGATAGGAGGCCAGGAAGTACATTCTCTAAGGCTCAGAGATGGACAGGGTACCTGGTGAACATCACTAAGGACTACCACAATGAGCAACGCTAAGTCTTTCCACGGGTTCCAGTAATGACCCTCAAGTCAGAAACTGCCTGTGTGTCATGGGACCAAGATCCTCATTTCTAAGCCAGAATAGAGCAACCAGTCAGTGTGTGTTCAGGCTGAAAGATGCATTGAGTCTGAGTTTGTGTTTGTTTTTGCTTGTTAATCCTCACCTGAGGACATGTTTGTTTGTTTTTTTCCCCATTGATTTTTTATTTTTTAGAGAGAGTGGAAGGGAGGGGGAGAGACACCCAGAGAGAAACATCAATGTGAGAGAGACACATAGAGAGAAATATTGATGTGAGAGAGACTCATCGATTGATTGCTTCCCACATGTGCCCCGACGAGGCTCAGTGGTAAATATCTTCTGTGCTCATGAGTGTCAGCACCATATGGGGACCATACTGGCCTTACAGGGCCATGTGAAAATTCAATGGATTAATATACGTAAAGCACTTAGAACAGTGCCTGGGACACAGCGAGTGCTATATACTTCGTTGCTATGTCATTACTGCTGCTCGGGCTACTGGTTCTTTTTCGCAGCAATAGAACATGAACTTGGTCATCAGGCTTGCTCTATTCGCTGTTGAACTGGGTAGAGCAGTTCTTTTGGGATGATTTCATGTGAATCTCAGGTTTTGGGTAGGAACAGGGAATGGATTTCAAGACAGCCCATACAGTGGCCTAGATTGTTGGGTATAAATTAATTTATTTTTCTTTGGAGTTTATTATTTATTTCTTCCTGATTTCTACCCGGTTGGCATAGTCCTCAGTCTTGGACTACAGTGCTGAGTACACAATGGGCACATGTTTAAAGATAGCACAGGTCCACTCCTAACAAGTTTTGAAACCCTGCTTCTGAAACAATCTCATTGGCCTGGGGGTTTGTCTGGGGAGCAGGGTGACTCCAGGGGCATGCTCACCCTACTGTGAACCACAGGGACATCTCTCCAAACAAAGCTGACCAGCATCCTTTGTGCCTCAGTTCCCTCATCTCCTCTGTGCTGCCCCCACTGCAGCCCCTCAGAACTCCTGCTCCCTGGCCTGGCCATGACTCCCCTCTACAAACCTTCCACAGGAAACTGAGGGCCAAATACTTTACCCACAGTTAGATTTATCTATACCTGTGTTGGACACTTATTTGGGGGCTGCATCCTGACCCTTATTTCCTCCCGGACAGGCCTGACTCCCTTCTAGAAGCTGTGTCCTGGCCGCATCTCCTGGGCTCTGGCGGGGGGATAGGGAGCGCTGGTCCACAGGACGCTGACAGAGAGGCGGTGCCTGGTGCGGTCCGGCTCGCCCCTGCTGACCTTGGACTGCTACTCTAAGCGGGCCGTGGCTCATGGGGCGGCGCGAGAGGTCACGGCAGCCTGGTGGGGGCTGCAGGGAGCTCTTCCCGAGGCGTCACCTTCACAGCGCAGGGCGTGTTTCCTTATGGCAGGAGGGTGAGCTCTCCCGCTTCCCACTGGTGTGCGTTCCCGTCTCTGTCCTGGCTGACCTGGGCCTCCCAGGTCTCCCTTCGTCACCCACCGAGTTTTCAGTCCCCAGGAAAGGGGCCCCGGATTCTTTCGCCTCTTGTTGTAACTGCATGGCCAGCTGGATGCCTCGCCGTGAACTGACTTCTGCTCAGGTTGGTTACAGACCTCTGCCCGAGACCACCTGCCAGCTGGCTCACCTACCAGGTTTCCCCCTCATTGGCAGGTTCCCCCTTTGTTGATTATCATTATACAAACAGGTGCGACAGCATGCGTCTACATTCAGAATTCTGGTTGCTGATAAATCCTCCACCGTGTGGCACTTGATCTAAATGTTCCTCTTCGCCTCTTTATTCCCCCCTCCCTCTCCCCCCCAGTGTCTAGAAGGAGCTTATCTGAAGCATAGTCATTATAATTTTCCTTTCTGTTCCACTTGCTTCTCTCCCTGATTGTAGACACACCCACCCACAAGCAGAAGCAGTGGTTTAGAGAGACCTTTGACCACCTGCGGGCAATTGCCAATTCTGCAGAGGCCCGGGAGGCTGCTGTTCACCTGGTGTCTGGGTAAGAGAGGAGAGCTGAGGTTATTTCAGAATTTACAATGATCTAAGCAGACTTGAGAGTTCAATATATATTATTACCGAGTGTCTGCTGTGCTCAGAACGCTGACCTGGATGTGGGAGGATTTAGAAGAACATTTTATTTTATTTTTATTTTTTAAAATATATTTTATTGATTTTTTACAGAAAGGAAGAGAGAGGGACAGAGAGCTAAAAACATCGATGAGAGAGAATCGTCTCAATCAGCTGCCTCCTGAACACCCCCCACCAGGGATGTGCCCGCAACCAAGGCACATGCCTCTGACGGAATTGAACCTGGGACGCTTCAGTCCACAGACCAACGCTCTATCCACTGAGCCAAACAGGTTTCGGCTAGAAGAACATTTTAGGCTTTACTCCAAAGAACTCGAGAAAGGCAAATTATGGTGTTAGACTTTTTAATAATGAGCATCCATTACAGTTTCTCAACAAATACTGTTTTGAGTTTCCTTGGAGGTTATGCAGTGATTTTCAACTATGGCTACAAAAGTATGTCAGGTAAGCAGTGAGGTGGGTTATGTGAAGATATGTGGAAAGCAAACAGGCATGACACTCAAATGGGAGCAGAGACCCAAAACATAGGGACACCTTATATATTTCGTGTCCTCGGAAAATGCTACATTCCAAAAATGTAAATTTTGTAGGTCACCAAAGTTACCTTGTGACGTGCCACTTAGGAAAAAAATATTTCTGAAATGGTTAGCCCACTCCTATTGATTCTTCATATCTGATTCAGGAGATGCACAATTGAACAAAAGAGTTTAAAAATAAATCCTATGTAACATTGCTAACACAAACTTGCACTTAAAATGTTGCAATGTCTTTCTATATGGTTTTAAATAGAGGTCACTAATAATTATATCACTTTTAACTTAATGACATAACCTATATGTTATCTTTGTTATCCTGTGTTATAACACAGTCATGTCCTTTGAAAGAGCAGAGGGATGTTTGCCTTTTGCTAAATTCTTAAATCCACTGCACCCTTTGTGCTATTTCTAAAGCAAAACAAACAACTCCCCCAAACAAAAACAAACAAACAAACAAACAAACAAACAAACAAACAAAAATCCTGTCCTCTCTCCTCTTTTGAGATGTCTGCTGACTATTTTTTTTTTTTGCTGGGGAACACCCCTGCATCGAGCAGATTTCTATCCTTTTCCTTTTCTTGCCCTTCCTCACCATCACTAATACCAAAATATGTTGACATCACTAATTCCTCAAAGTCTTTGTCCAAAGTAGCAACTTTTGCTTCTCTACCTTCCGAAGATAGACGGTTCTATCACTGTCTTCAAAACCAGAGGATGAGCCATGTAGGAACATGGTTCTCATTAATAGATGACCACCCTTCATTTTTGTCAAAACCAATGTGGTCCAGTCTAAGTCACAAACTTTGGCTCCTCACAATTTTTAAAAAGCAGCTGTGTCCACAATTTAATTATCCTTTCAAGAGTAAGACTTTGCCACCGCTGAGATTATTATAAAGAAGGCACTTTAAGCTATTCTAAAAGAGAGCTCTTTATTTCCCCTCACATGAATGATTTTTATCCTACTTGCTTCCAAAAAGGATTTGGACGACACAAGCCAAGACCAGGGCACAATGTCCTGTGCATCTTTGGCTTAAGTATGTCACTTTATTAATCTGTTCATTCCTTCAGAACAAGTTTTCAGCATTCATCGGCATCAGGTACTATCCTAGGTATCAGGGATATAAAACTGAGCAACATAATACAGACTGCTTGGCATATAGTAGATGCTCAATAAACATGTATGGAGTGAACTTTTAAGAATGACAGACATGGTCCTGACCTCAGGCAGCTTATGGCATGTGGATAATGTCCTAAATTTAATGAGTAACAAATGAGACGCCAATTACGAAAGCAGTTATCTGGAGAATGAACTTGCTCTGGGATTTTATGAGAAGCCACCAGGAAAAAAGTGATGTTTCAGTGCAGACCATCCAGATGGGGGTAGGTTAGACTGGTGATGTGTAGAGGTGAAGGAGGCAGAGACAGGGTCAAGGTCAGAGGAGGCAGCATTCTGGGGAGAGAGAAGAGCACATGCATAGATCTGAGTCTGGGGTGACTGTGGTGTGTTGGAGGGGTTGAAAAATTTCAATGTAATGGGAAGCCATTGAAGGATTTTACACAGAGAAGTAACTGATCATATTTACATTTCAAAAATATTCTGCTTGTAGTGTGGAAGACAGATTTGTGGAATGCAAGATGATGGTAGGATAGATTAGCTGTTGATGGTGAGGATAAAGAGTAGATGAATTAAGAAATGCTTAAGAGGAGATTTATTATAATTATTATTTAAAAAATATTTTTTAATAGTTGTTGTGTGTTTTTTGTTTTTGTTTTTGTTTTTTTAGAAGATAGGATCCATCTTTTTAATTTTATTATTTTTCTATTTTATTGATTTTTTACAGAGAGGAAGAGAGATGGATAGAGAGTTAGAAACATCAATGAGAGAGAATCATCGATCAGCTGCCTCTTGCACCACCCCTACTGGGGATGTGCCTGCAACCAAGGTACATGCCCTTGACCGGAATCGAACCCGGGACCTTTCAGTCCGCAAGCCGATGCTCTATCCACTGAGCCAAACCAGTCTCGGCTAAAAATATTTTTATTGATTTCAGAGAGGAAGGAAGAGGGGGAGAGAGATAGAAACATCCATGATGAGAGAGAATCGTTGATGGGCTGCCTCCTACATGCCCCACAGTCGGGATTGAGCCCACAATCCAGGCATGTGCCCTTGATTGGAATCAAACCTGGGACCTGTCATTTCTTAGGCCGACACTCTTTTCACTGAGCCAGACCAGCTATTATTATTATTTTAATTCCCACCTGAGAGAGGAAGGAAGAGAGAGAGAAAGAAAAAGAAACATCAACGTGAGAGAGGAACATCCATCAGTTGCCACCTGTAGCCACCCTGACCAGAGATCTAACCCCTAACTTACCTGGTATGTGCCCTGACTGGGAATTGAACCCAGTCTTTTGATGTACGGGATGACATCCAACCAACTGAGTCACCAGGCCAGGGCTTAAGAGATTTGACAGGATCTGGTAGTTGATGGCAGGCAGGGGTTGAGAAAGTAAAGGGTGATTTTTGGATTTCTGGCATTAGCACTTGTGTGAATGGAATTCTACTTTCTGAGTTGGATAAGATTGGGGAAAGGAGTAGGGGAAATGTGTGTGTGTGTGTGTGTGTGTGTGTGTGTGTGTGTGTGTATGTTGTGTGGTCATTGTGTGAGATATGAGGTAGACATTCAGTGGGGAGTAGGAAACATGGGGGGTGTGAATCTGGTTTGGGAACTCCTGAGAGAGAAAGGGCTGGAGATGTAGACTGCTGAGTGTTCGGCCCACAGATGATGGTGAAGCTACAGAAGAGGGCAGTCTAGCCCAGAGAGAGCTTGTAGCACAAGCCCCGAAGCAAACTACTTAGTTATGAATTACATCGTTAGCAACCATGTACAGCACTCAAATTATTTTCCTGGCTATTTTAGAGCAGCCATGATTTACAACATTTATTCATATTGATGAAAACACTTGTAAATTCAACATATGCCTCACAGCTATTGGTAGGATTATTACAGGCTTCTTATCAATCAATATCACTTCAGCCTCATTCCCCCCACCATGACTTCATGGTAACAGGACTTCTCCGGACAAATTGGATTATTCTTTTATCGAGAGCTTGTTGGATGACCTACAATTTAGGTCATAATTTGCACCCCAGCCTCCTGGACTCTCACCATTGCTCATTCCAATTTAGATACTTTGTTCAGGAATGAGGCCAACTTTTAAACTTTTGATGGTTTGCTTATCATTTATGTCAAGCATTATGCAAAACATGCATGGTGTGATTTGCTCCTGTGACTTTCCTCTAATACTCAAAGTCATAAATATTTAAGAAAATCTGGGCAAGAGCTTTTTTTTGGGAAAAAAAAAAGAATTAAATCCAATCTTTAAAAGACACACTACCTTTTAAATGTCTTATTCTCTTCGCTCATGAACATTTTAAATTTAGCTGCTGAGGTATCCGAACCCAAGAGAATGGAAGACTAGATCTTTTGCTCATGTGCAGAAAGTGTGATTTTTTTCATTGCTTTAGAGAATGTCATATGGGGCTCACAAGAGATGTGTTATTTCACAAAATTTCAGCAAATTTATTCTCCTAATATACTTCAGTTGGCAGGTATATCGGAGCATTCCTACTGAAGTGCCATTCTGGGCTGATGTGGTTCTGGGATTTCGAAAGATGACAGAGGCTGAGCTGAAGAAATTCCCCCAACATGTGTTTGGTCATGCTTTTACAACGCTGAAACTGGAAGGTTCTGCCTACCTCCCATGGCTGGAGAAAAGGTCAGTGTACATGGCTCTTTGCTGCTTCCTTCATCTGTCATAGCCATAAGTAACTTCTTAGTTATTCATTAAATATATACTGAAAATTCTCCGTGGTCCCTCAGAGTTCTTGCACAGTGTTTTGTTGATCACAGATGGCCGAGGCTTTGACAACAATTTGAAGACAGTGCTTGAGTCATAGGAGCGAATCACACCATGCTTTTTAATGAATAACATGTCCATCTACTGTAACTTGTAGTGTGCATCTTGATATACAATTTGGTTCGCCATCACCACCACCACCACCTCCACCACCACTACCACCACCACACACCAGTAAAACAAACTTATTGAAATAGTATCTTGGTCTCATGGTCTGTGCAATGGAGTTTGGAAAACATGCTTCCAGTTATATAAAATTACATGATTTACTCTCGTTCTTTGAATGGGTGAATCCTGTGCTTATTATAAATTATTTTTGAGTATTTTTCTCATTGGTGATAAAGAAAATAGCTTCATTGTTTTCTTTTGTTATAAATAAGAACTCTAACACTGAGGGCTTATCTAAATTAGGTAATTCATTCCTCACCAAGGTTAGCCTCAGATACCTTCAACTTGCATTCTGGCTTGGTTTTCAGGACTTTCTGTTCCCTTTAGGATTCCTCTCTCATGCAGCCTGATTCTAGGCTTAATGAAAATGGACACTTGGATTTTAGGGTGATGATCAGAGGACTTGGGCTATGGCTATTTAGTGAGCACAGCTTCTTGAACCCTCCCACTCTTCCCCCCATTTCCTCCTGGGTGGTTGGGGCAATGGTATCCTCCCTGCCCAGGGTGAGGACAGTTGTAGGAAGCTCCAAGAACAAGGTCACCAAGCTTCTTATACCCCCAGCCATGTCACTCAAAACCTCCAGAATAACTATTTCATATGATCGTAAGGCAGCTATGTAGGTACCTGATTACCTAGTTTAGCATCTAGCTTCCAGGTACAGTTTCTTCCTACATTTTTGTGCCGTCTTAATGCATGGGCCATGGCTCTAGAGTAATGACTGAGTATCCCACTGTGGACACATTACAACTGCACAAGGATGACTGATCCCTGGGCACACTCAGTAAGTTTTCTTGTGAGGCATAAGGGTTGGGAGGGACCCAGCACAGCAAGCCTGACAGGGCTTTCCAACACCCTGTGCTCTATGATAATTTAAGAAGTTCCTGGGTGGATGATGAGCTTTCATCAGTAGCTCAGCCAACAAGGTACCCTTGAAATGGAAAAGAAGGACATTTACATTTGTTGCATTCTTACATAATTGTCATAAAAAAAATCATGAGAGCTCAGCACTCTTGTCTCTAGGTTATAGCTGAGAAAACAAGTGCAGTGGGTTTAGCTAATTTGCTCAAATTCCAAGGCTGGTAAATTCTCTTATGTCTCTGAGGATAATTTTGAGTTCTAATTGGGATGGTTGGAACACAGAACAGAATGTCTAAATATTAGCCCTCTCTTGTTAGCATCCCTGTGGTAGACATAGAGGGAGTGTGCCAGCCCTGTCCCAGCCATCCAATTAGGGAGTCGAATACAAAGGAACATGCAAGACAAAAATATCCAAGGCAGTTACTTTAGGTGCTAACTAAAGGACACAAACAAGAAATATGTGGGGATTTCACATACCCAGATTAATTTGGTATTTATTTGGCATCTAGAATGATATAGAAATTCTATTGCACATAGAAAGGACAGCCTGGCTAATATGCCTCAATGGTTGAGCAGCATGGCTCCATTCTGGTCAGGGCACATGCCCAGGTTGTGGGTTTGATCCCCAGTAGTGGGTGTGCAGGAGGAAGCCATCAATGATTCTCTAGCATCGTTGATGTTTCTCTCTCTCTCTCTCTCTCTCTTTCTCCCTTCTTCTTCGAAATCAATAATAATAATAATGATAATAATAATACTAATAAATACAAAAAGGACAAAGGACAGAATTTGTATCTGTGAGTACTTGAAACAGAGTTTATCCATATATTATTATTTATTAAGTATTGTGTTACTTTCCATATGAACAATTGTAAGCCTACTTTTGCCCCCGCCCTGTATATAATTTACTTGGCTTTGGATTTTTGAAATAGGTTTTCATTTGGGTTCCACTCTTGGAATCCCCAGTTATGAAGCAATTGGTGGCTAGAATTCGGCTGGCTTGGGCCATGGAAGCTCTTGAGGAGTTTGTCTCCATGTTCCTGTCCATCACTGCCTGTAGAGGGTTGAGCAGGAAGTTGCCAAGGCTCACCTCCCGCTCCCTCGATCTCCCCAGGGTGAAAGAGAGTGGGACGGTGACACTCACCCGGCGAATAGAAGACCTGTGGGAGCTGCACCCGTCCTTCGACATCGTGGTCAACTGTACAGGCCTTGGAAGCAGACAGCTTGTGGGAGACTTGGAGATCTACCCCGTGAAGGGCCAGCTGCTTCAAGTGCAGGCTCCCTGGGTGAAGCACTTTATCCGGGATGGGAGTGGGCTGACGTACATTTTCCCCGGTGTATCCAACGTAATCCTGGGTGGAAGCAGGCAAAGTGGAGACTGGAACTTGACCCCAGATGCAGAAATTAGCAGAGACATTCTTTCCCGATGCTGTGCTCTGGAGCCCTCCCTCCACGGAGCCTGGGACATCAAGGAGACGGTGGGCTTGAGGCCCTACAGAGCAGGGGTTCGGCTGCAGAAGGAGCTCCTGGCCCGGGATGGCCGGAGGCTGCCTGTGGTCCACCACTATGGCCACGGGAGCGGGGGCTTCTCCATGCACTGGGGGACAGCTCTGGAGGCTGCCAGGCTGCTGAACGAGTGTGTTCAAGCCCTCAGGACGCCCGCTCCCAAGCCAAAGATATAAGTGCCAAGAAATGACAGCAAATGGCCCAGGAGACTATTGATCAACATACAATTTCTGTTCATTAAAAATGATACAGTGTGTATGAGTAGGTTTAGGACTATGGTAATCTAATCTAGTGCTATTCTGGTATATACTAGATTTACATCTATTACTAATCACATGGAACATAGAGCTCTATTTCTACTAAAAATAAAGATTTTGATTTAAAAAAAAAAAGATGACTTTTAGATCTAGTGTCCAAGAATCTATGCTAATTTGCATGGATGCTGGAAGCTGTAGGGATTTCAACATATTTGGCTCATAAATCCACAGGAGGAGATAAGGCATGGAAATCACTGAGCTCACTGGCAGTAACAGAGCTGCCCATGATGCTCACTGGGTTGTAGTCGAATGAGATAAAAGGCCTTGTAGATAAAATCATACGATCATGTGATAGAAGTTTATTACAGTTAATGAATGACTCCCTGCTAGAAGAATTCCCGGTAGAAGACACGGTGGCACCAATTGCATAGCTGTCTGGGCTCAGTTCCCTAAGGTCCATACAGGCATCACCACAGGCAAATGAGAGCCGGCTTGTTGTATGGTGGACTGTGCCCAAGCGTTTCTGAAGACTGAATAGCATGTGCAGCCAAAGAGCTAACTTGCTAATTAAGATGGAACAATCGTTCTGAATGAAATATACCCAGAGCTTTTCACAGGATTTAAAAAAAATGTACCGGGGAGGAGGGGGATGTGCCTCATGATAAAGTGAATTTGGGAATCAAATGTATCTAACTGGTTTCTTGATGCGGGCCTGCTCAGAGCCTTTAATCTGTTCACGTGTATTATGAGTGCTCAGGAGGGTTTGGTTTGAGTGAATGGCAGAGGAGATGTTCTTCGTTGAGATAAGGAAGCTTGGGAGAAACAGGTGGTTTTAATTTCAGGGGAAGATGGCGAATGTGTAGAGATGAATTCTATTTTTGCTCTGAGGGAGATGTGGGGTTGGCAATGAGAATGTGGGAAAGAGAAAGCCCCCAGTACGGTTTTATTTTTGCTGTTTTGTTCACTGAGCTTTTGCATCTGACTTTTTATTTATTTTTTTAATTTAACAAATCTTTATTGTTCAGATTATTACAATTGTTCCTCTTTTTTCTCTCCATAGCTCCCCTCCACTAGGTTCCTACCCTACCCCCTTCCCTTACACCCCACACTGTTCTCATCCATAGGCATCTATGTTTGAAGAAAAAATTATTCTGGGAGAAAGAGAAGGTGTCTGGGAGAGGGATTGGGGCAGGCTCTGGGATGGTGGAGAGAACATTCAAGTATGGGTTCTTTTCCATAGATTTCCACCAGGGGGTGGTATTGTATTAAATTCAGATACATTGGTAAATCTGAAATTTAGAATAACTGGAAATAAAAAATGGATACCAGGTAAGTCGAGCGAATATATGATTCTTTTGAGGGTATATACCCCCACGGCCTGTTGTTCTGAATTCTGTGTCAGGTACTTGATAAATGTACAAACTTAGATGAAACACATACACACACTAACACACACACACTCATTACCTGAAATCTGTGAGAAATAATGTTATGACAAAATGGCATTTTAAAGAAGGGGAAACAAAGTTTAATGGTAAGAAATAAAAATGAAGCCCAGCACAGGTTGTCTTTCTGTCACTTCCATGGCGGTTTGAAGTGTTTTGAATTTGTTGCTTATGCCCCAGTTTCAATAAATGCGGCATCTTCATGTCGTGCAGGCAGGTTCACACTCTGACACTGTCTACTCGCTATTCTCAGGGTTTAGTTTCCCTCTGGATTTCGTATTTCTAACGCCCAGCATTACCAGACTGAAAGATCGGAGGCTTCCTGAGGAAGTGACCATGGCTGCAGCCCTGCGTTCGTGGCTAAGGATGTGCCCTCAGTAGTGCTCAAAGGTTTCGGTCATTAGCTGCCAACCAGGCTGCACATTAGAACCATTTAGGAAGTTTTGGAAAAATACTGATGCCCAGCCCTACTCTATTATATTAGAATCTTTGGAGGTGGGGTGGGCTGTCATGTCGGTATTTGCTCAATACCACTAGCCTTCCCTTCCTGCCTTGCCTTTTCGGGGCATGGTCCTGGGGATGTGCTCACAAAAGCAGAGACGTCATAGGTACTTCTGGGCAAGGTGGCCAATAGGGCTTAGCTGTCTTCCTCAGCGGGTCTATAGAAATGCCGGAATCTCCTTGCTGCTTGTAGACAGCTATCTGTCTTTGTCTGAAAGATGAGAGACAATTTTCAAATGGGCGATGGCCAGACCATATGTAAAAATAGAACGCTGCCGACAACTTGCAGCAGCCTGTCCAGTAAACCAGACCCTTATTTATAACAGCCGGCCCCAGGAGTCAGCCTGCTATAGGTCACATTTGGAGGAAGCCAGGTTGCTAGCCTATATAATAAAAGCCCTGTGACCGAGCAGCAGAACGACCAGTCGACCCATCGCTATGTTGCACACTGACCACCAGGGGGATAGATGCTCAATGCAGGAGCTGGCCCCTGGTGGTCAGTGTGCTCCCACAGTGGAAGCATGGTTCGGCTGACCCAGATGAATGGTGATCCACAAGCGGCCACGCCCCCTACCAGTGCACAATTCCCATGCACTGGGCCTCTAGTCTTTAGTAATAATCCAGAAAGCTACCCAATCATTTTTGAAACAATTGGCCCCAAATGGCCAGGAACTTGATTAATAACTGACAGGTCCCCTAATTTTTGTCCCATTTCTAACGTAAGACCAACCAGAGAAAGCTCAATATGCTCTCCTAACCAGTCACAGTGGACGCCTTGCTTCTCGTTAGCTGTCTACAGCTTCCCAGGTAGCAGCCTCCACTCAGGGCACACCTGCAGGTCCTTTTTTTCACTATTAAGCTTCCAACCCCTCTGCCTGCCTTGATGTGATGGCTGCTGACTCCTTTGCTAAAGCAAGTTCTGAATATAGCCATTGCTTTTCTCAATTGGCTGGCCTTTTCTCTTTTTTTATTCTACAAAGATTTCCTGAGGTCTCTGGTGATCTGTGCTAAGGCCTGAGAATGGACTACTTTGCTGTTTTTTGTTTTTTTTTTTCTTTCCTGTTTTCTATTACAGACCATTAAAAAATTGTTGTTGTTTTTTTCTGAACATGAAAAACAACTGATTTCTTTCTTAAGTCGCTGTGTTGACACTGTCTAGCATTGTGCCTGAGCTCGGACCCGCGCTCCTGTGACCCAGAGCGACCGGCAGCTGTGAGGGCACGGGCGTTGCAGGCACGGAGCTTCTTCAGCAGTCAGAGGTTATGGACACGCTTTTAGGATTTATTCCCTTAGGAAGAAAAGAAGCTGCACAGAAAGGTCATAGCCCAGTAGAACACAATAGAAGGAAGGCTGTTTTTAAAAATTATATATGGTATGGTCTTCCTTTTATGGAACAGACTCATTCAAACCAGTTGCTATTGAAACCATTTTTTCTCAACCCATTAAGAGCTTTTATAGAAAAGGAGGGGAAACTTGATGATGGGACCTGTGTCCACTAGGGAGTTGTAGTTCTGGGAAACCTGGTTCAGGACTCTCAAGAATGTCAGGTATTTGAAATGAATGTAACATCCCCCCTTTCCCCTCTTTCTCTCCCCCCCCCCCCAACATAGCAATTTTTTCTTGATTCCTCTCATCTTTCTTCTTGGGGCTGTGAATGATGGAGACACATAGGAAACCTGTTTCCTCTGGGTGTCATTCACTTAGGAAAAGCCAATTGAGATGTTCAAGCGGTCCCTTTCCTCTTGAAAAATCTCAGCAGTTTGCCACGAGGCCTGGGGGCTTTATTATCCCAAGTGGCTTTGCCACCTATAAATCATAGCCCTAAGCAGCTAAGGGAAATGAGCTAACCAGATCCCAGAAAATATGTAACCAGTGTTTCTTCAATTATTAGCAGAACAACTGACTCTCATCTGCTCAGGGCACCTGCTGACCTGGCCTGCAGCCACCATTACCCACAATTCCGCCGCCCAGAGCCCGTTTCTCTTGCGTTGTAGTTTTGCCCTGGCGCATGTTCTGTGATATCAGCCCATGCCAACACGTTTCATGCATTCTAGTATTTCTTTTCCATACAGACCCAAGCTGTCAACCCAGTAAGAGCTTTTATAGAAAAGGCGGGGAGGGGGGGAAAAAAAACTCAGGGATTGTGGCGAAACACCAAACAGTGTGCCTACTCTGTTCAGGCCCCTTTTCCTAAATCTGCTCAGACCCGGAAATTCACTACCTGGTATGTCCTGTGTCCTGCCTCTCTGGTCACAGCCTATTGGATCATAGGGAACTATCGCTTTCAAACCCCAGATCGTTGGCATGTATTTCTCTCTGGACGTAGGCAGCCCAGGACTGTCGCCAGGACTTGATCAGTGACCCCGGCTGTGCACATCCAGCTCTCTCCAGGATGTGGCTCTTGTGCTCAGGGCTCCAGCACACCACCACGCCCACCCCCAAGGAAACCTCCCAGAAGACTCGTGGAGCACATTTGCTTCTGTCTCACTGCACGGGATTCAGCCTCAGGCCCACTCAGAGATTCTAGGGAAGCTGGGAATGGAGTCCATTGGCTTTTGACAATGGAAAGTCAAGGTTTGAGAAGGTTCGGCTAAAAGTATCAACTTATAAATAGGGTTGAGTCAGTCAGATCCTTAGGGATTTGTACTAAGGGATGGTGTTTCCTAGTATTGGTAGGGTGTGGAGACCAGGAAATCCACGTTGTTCCGGTTTACACAGAGGAAGTCAGGTAAGAAAGAGGCAGAGAAAAGCAGAGAGTTCCAGTCCCACATCTTCCTCCCCCCACTGAGATCCTAATTTATTAGGTCTGGAATCAATATTACTTATTTATTTTTATGGAATTTATTGGGGTGATATTGCTTAATAAATCATGTAAGTTTCAGGTATACAATTCTACAATGCATATACATGGAATCTATATGTTTAAAAAAGCTCCCCAGATGATTCTGATGTAAAAAAATCAGAATCAGGGTG